CGAGCTGGTAACAAGAGGCAGCGTATCTGGGCGTATAACGAGGAACTTTCAACAACTCAACATTCCCCTTTTTAAAACTACAACAGATCAGAGGACCTTTTATTATAGAAGTGTAGCCATCTGGAATAAACTTGACTCAAGATTGAAACTATGTGAAAAACCAGCTTATTTTAAGAGAGATTTGACAAGGCATCTCCTGAAAGATTTTTTATTTAAATAACCATTCTATTCTTAAAGATATAAGTAACTTCTATTGTATTTAACGTATTATTAGTTAGTTTTGTATGTATAGTATCAAGTATGTAAATTATGTAATTGTTCACTGAAAAGCCCCAGACGGAGATGTGTTCAATAAAATGTATGTATTTATGTATGTATTTAACTCAACATTTTCATAGTTAGCTGTTAACTTTTACGGAAAAAAAGTAAAGAACAGTCCAGTTTTAACCATGTCTAGAAAATGCGAGAAAGTACACCTTCGTTTTTGCTGGAAACAATCTCGAAACAATCTGAAGCTTTGCTTTCCAAAATTAAACTCCCCGTGTGAATCGACCTTTGAAACATTCTCACAACTTGTCAACTGCGCGTCCTAAAGTTCTCGCAAAGTTCAAACTAAAACCTTGTAAGATATTCAGCGCTGAAAAATAGTAAGATAAAAAATGTCGATTGACAAATAGAGAAACAAGTCAACACACAGGTAAAGTTGCACTTTGAGAAATCAAATTATTAAAAGAAATCTTTTCTCAAAAAAGCCATTTAACTGCAGCGCAGCTCAGCCAAACCACCTGTCTCGCCAATAATTACGTGCAACTCCTTGACCTCGCATTCCTGTTAGCAATGACCCGCAGCGGGCAAGGTTAGTAAATTGATTTATCTGCAAAACTTTGTTTTTGTCGAATTGATTTTGGTTCTTTGAAAATGTAATATATACTTAGATTCCGTTATCAACTTTTCGCTAGATAAGGAACACCCACTGGTGATTGATAGCTCTGACAGCGATGTCGACGACGCCGACCATAAACAGTAAGCTTCAATGAATATTTTTCTTCCTATATAAGCACGAGTGTTATATACATCGCTTTCTCATGAAATAAAATACTTTTATTTCATTACTTTTATTAAATAGTCTATCAGTTTGGAAAGCAAAGCTTGAGAATGTTTCGAGGCAATACGGCTTTCCAGCAAAACCGAAGGTGTAATTTCTCCCATTTTCTAGACATGGTTAAAACTGGACTGTTCTTTACTCTTTTTTTCCGTAAAAGTGAACTGCTAACTATGCAAATCTTGATTTAAATAAACCATATGAACAGTCCACTTCAGGCGGCGTGAATTTTTTAATAATTGTTATCTTATTTCTTAAATTTCTATCTCTAGTTTATTTATGTATTTGATTATTATTTTAATTTTTTTTACATTTTTTTTTTAGACTCCGCACTCCGCGTTTTCGGGACAGCCCACCCTGACCTCAAAAACCGTTGTATTCCCGCGACATATACATTTTCTGTTCCGGAATCTGTACGCACTATCCTCAGGACTCCACCAATTTGACAAATATAGTCTGTAAAATAGTTAGCAATGATTTTTGGGTTGTTGTTTGTACGACCAACTTCTAACCAAAGAATACGTCGGCTATAACCATCGATAGCCCCATTTATGCAAAACCCAAATGGTTTGAGCTTGTCGTAACCATCTATATGCCAAATGTAGTTAGGTCCTTTGCTACGGTATTCTCTCCTTCGTAACCGCTTTGATGATCGTGACTGTACGCCAGCATGATCCAATTCTTTAATTATAGCTCGTACGGTCTCCTTCCCAGGACAACAAGGCCGTAGTCAATCTTCAATCGCTGGTACATTTGGCGATAACCAATACTGTTCCCACTTCCTTCGAGGTCAGTTTCAATCGCATTTAAAATTTATTTCATGTCACCATGGTCTTTTCTTCTACGAAGACCCTGACACCTAAGCACTCGTTTCAGCTGGAGCAAGTTTATTTCAATTCTATGAAAACACAAAAGAAAAGGGAGGATCTCTGAGTAAGCCAGATTGAGAGAAAAGTAGTGATTGATGATATCATTTATCGCGCGATTATTTTTTATTTATCGCGCGATAATTTTTCATTTATCGCGCCATAATTTTTCATTTATCGCGCGACAATTTTTCATTTATCGCGCGATAATCTCCATTTATCGCGCGATAATTTCCATTTATCGCGCGATTAAAAAAATTTGTCATGTCCCCTATGGGCCACCGTAGATTGGAGAGTTGTTTTAAGTATGCAAAAAGTATTTATGATTTATCAGACAGACTTTATGCCTGCTCATAAAAGTGTGCGAGGTCTTGTAAAAAAGTAAAGTATAACAAAAAAGCATTGTAAAACTTTTCCTTGAAATGGACCCCTATGCTACGAATTAATACAAAAAAGTCATTCCCAGTCTTCCATCAACCACTAGAAAAGTTTAGCGTCTAACAGCCACTTTGATTTTCGTATTGGTAATAATGGCGAATTTTTGAGCGCTAAGTGATTACGTGTGGAGTACCATTAAGTCTGAGAAATGCAGCATACAACAATCACCGTGTCTACGAAGTCATCTCGAGACTACTTATTTCGTGGGACCACACGGCTTGCCAGCGGCTAGATTCCCGATACCGAATTTTATTGTCTGACGCACAATCGTAGATCCCACTTTTACGATACGTAACACCGACGCAAACAAAACAGATCAACAGATACATTTTTGTTAAGTAATGATCATTTGTTAGCCATTCACCTTCAACCTTTTCATTTCTACTTGGTGTTTTTTTCAAAAGTTCATCGAGGTTGGCTTGCCTAACACTAGTTTTAGCAAAGCGAGAACTTTGGCATTCATTTTTTTAGCCAAACATTCTTCGCAAAGTAACCTGGCTTAAGCATAACTTATTGCAAGCAAATCGAGCGGTCAATCAACCGAGAGATTCAAAATTTCAAACAGCACGCATTTACGTAATTTATAAAGGGGAGAACCCTCTTGCCAAGCCACGAACACATTGAAAGCAGTTAATTTACTCTCTACAATTGATTATTAATCGGTCTAAATGTGTCTGACAAGCGGTTACTGCCACTCTACAATCAAACCAAAATAAGGCAGGCACTTTAGCATGACTGAATTGCGCTTCACCACTGTTGTAAAATACAGGTAGAGTGCAGAGAGGCATTTTTTTCTGCGCATGTTCTCTAAATTTTTGTTTAATGCGAGTAACCGCTGGTATGAACCTGCGTCGATCTCTCACTTTACAAGTAAGGCAGGAAAATGCGTTGAAAAACAACAATGGAACGAGTACTTAGGACAACCTTATTGCCATTTTCCCTCTGTAAATGGAAGCGTTAAAGCCTTAAAATGTTTGTATTGTGTGCGGAAGGAAGTCACAACCGGGTGATTTTCAAAAAGCAAAAGGATATACAAACGGGTTTGAGTCTTCTTTAATGACTGGTCGGGCGATCGATGTAGGTGATCCCATATTTGTGAATGATAAAGAAGGCCTTTCAAAGAGCACAGATGTATTGGAAATTCATTTAATCGTGTCGTTGCTATCTCAAGTTATCTCACTTTCCTGTAAGCGTGTCTGGAGCTTCAACTGCCAGTGCGATGCACTCTCAATTTCAGTATTTTGGTTCAAAAGTTCTTTTTTTTTTTGACATGAATGACAAACGGCGAGACTGTACGCCGACTGGCATTTTCTAAGGAAACATTGCGCTCTAATGTTAGGAATAGTCTGATGATGTGCAAGTTGCGAGATCATTTCATAGTTGTGGGACGTCGTTTTGTTTTATTGCATCTATTTCAATGGTGTTTCACATGGGTTCCTTTGACAGGATATCCCAGAGGTTTTCGTGGCTGAAATTAGTCAATGTTTTCCACTTATAGTGAAATCCGTTGGAAAAAAGAATAGACGAGGCTCTTAAAGTCTCAAAAGACCTTACAGATGTATTCGGCATCATTAAGAATTTGAACATTCCGACCTTCGGCTTAAAAAACCATCGAGCAGATGAAGGGAATGATCTTTTCGAGATATAAAATGCAGTTATAAATTTGCCATAAGGTTTGATTCACGGTTAAGAGATATTGATCATAATCTAATAGAACTTTGTATCAATAGTTTAACCATGTTTCACTTTAGCAAGTATGAATTACACCCTCGGGAATTCCTCTAAATCTTTCATTATCATGGAAGCGAGTATTGTCTCATAATTTTTTGGAACTGGGAAATTTTCATGGCCATTTTGATTTGCAACCAATGATACACCAACACATACTAGTATCACTTGGATGCAATATTGGCCGTTTTCACACTAGAGGACGGACAAATCGTCTGGACGGACAAATCGTCTTAGACGAACAAATCGTCTGATATTTGGCCGTCTGGAAAGACGATTTTTTGAAGACGATTTGTCCGTCGAGACGAACAAGTCGACGACAGTACGACTTAAATTCATATCAGACGGTGAATTGTTCGATTTTCTCTCCGCGAGGAAATGGGACTAGCAACAGAGCGAGGTTTTATGGGAAGTTTCAACATGGCGGTAGTCATTTTGCTTTACAACACGACCTAGTGCCTGTTCTCTTTGCGCTCATAAGACGGACAACTTTTCGGCATATTGCCTTCTCGAATTCAAATTCCACGAACAAATGCCAGACGATTTGTCCGTCCAGACGATTTGTCCGCCCTCTAGTGTGAAAACGGCCATTGTATTGTAACTCTTGCTGTTCTTTAATCACTCAAAAGATCTTTTTTTTTGAATTTTTATATCTATTCAAAGCACAGCTGCGCTCGGGGCTCGCCGGAATCAAATTTGGTCGGCTTAGCAAATTAACTTAAACTCTGTAACCTCGTGATAATAATCACAGAGCATAAATCATTTAATTTGTTTTCCCTACTGAGATGGAAAGCACAATTTTGAGAGCTAGGTGAATATGTGTACAGTACAAGTGAGAAAACTGATTAATGAAACAGACGCTGAACGATATGACAATGATATAACACTGAATAACTTTATTTAAAAGGGGAGTAACACACAAAAGTAATTCAACTGACGAACTAGTGGTCCTCGATCCTAATAGTAACATAATTAGAATTAGAATATATTGGAGGATTATAATACTGGTTGACAGGTCGATAAGAATATAAGCTAAAAACTAGACAAAATAAAACATGTCGCTTGGGTCACGTTAAATCAGCCCATATTTTTTGTATTTAGCCAATCATTTTGATGCAGATATCATCTCTAGGATAATAAAGAATTAATATGAATTTGCACAGTTTCTCATACTTACTCTCTTTATAACTGAGAGTATTGAATTGTACTCAAAACACCGAGGTCTGACGTTTGATCTGGTTGCACTTTTCAAGTTTTAAAATGTATAAACAAAGGCTACAAGTCAGTAGCGATGGCATTTTTTCCTTTACGAACTAAAGGCAGGAAAACGATTTTTCACATCAATCAATTATTTCAAACTGAAGCGTTTTTACAGCAAGATAAGATTTGTTTAGGCAAGAAATAGCAATTAAAAACAATTCAGTTTTGACTAAGATGGATCGGTGTTGCATTTTTATTCAAGCTGCCGACAATTAGTGGCTGTATTTGAAGGTGAATGAAGCACCTAAAAAAGAGTCTAAAACTACGTCACAATTTTCAAATGGAATTGTTTTAGATTTTTACTGCACAGGCCCCTGTAACCGTCCGTTTTACTTTCATCAGGATGTATACCGCTCAACTAACCACTGCGCTTGTTTCTTACAAATTTCAAGAATTAAGTAATGAGACACAAAAAAGTTTGTCTTGCAAAAAGACCAGATAACAAAACTTGCATTGAGCGGTAGCAAAAGAGACCTTGGACATGGAAAATCGATTGGCATCTCATGACAACTGGGGACACCAACCTTCGCTTTAAGAACTGCATGTCATGCCTTTACACCAAACTAGTTTTGAGTCAACTAATGTTACAGTAGGCAAGTTTATGGACGGAATCTCAATAGAAAAATAGGGTTGAACGTGAAATGTTCTTTTTGTTACAACTTTATGTCCTCATCAACTAACCTCGCCACAACGATCTCTATTAATATGAACCAGCGCTATGCAGTTTATTTCACTTTTGAGACTTTAATTAGGCCGTTATGTTGTCTACCTCTTATTGCTATCATTTTTATGCAAAGGGTACCATGCGGTACTCACTTTTTCCACCATTTTAAACCGAAAGTCTCAAAAAATATATTGAAACAACAAGAGGACAGTTTCAAGATGATTAAGGAGTTGATCTCCTTCGTTTTGATCTTCGAGATGGTCTTGGTGGTGGTGTTGGTGGTGGTGTTGGTGGTGGTGTTGGTGGTGGTGTTTGTGGTGGTGTGGGTAGGTCTGGTAGTGTTTTACTTCGTACAGACTCTAACTCACGTAATTTATTCAAGCTTTGCTGAGCGGTTGATCGATTACTTGGTTCACCTCTCCAGCAAGCTTCCATTACATCTTTCCAGACTGGCCATGGAGGTTCTCTACCCTCTATGTCTGTTGGCCGAACCCCTTCTTTTAGCCTGCGTAAGTGCTGTCTATAACTGGTGATCGAGGTTTGGAAAGCCATCTCACAGTACCACAATTCCCACAGCAAAATGCTGAAGCTGAACATATCAGACTTGCTGTCATAATTTCGACCCTCACTTTCCAGGACTTCAGGTGCCAGATAACGTGGGTTGTCTTCTTCGATTTCTTTGTTCATTCGAAATGAACCCCTGCCAATACCTTTAAGCTTCACGTTTTCTTCTTGGGTTAACTGAAATATTAGATGTACTGAATGAAAAAGTTTCACCTCTAGATAATTGATTGTAACTAGATAATTCGAATCCTGTGATCGATTTTAGCACCGATACACTTCCAAAGTTGCATTGCAGTTAAGCTGGATTGTTGATTTAAAGTTTGATGAAACGAGAACTTTTAGGCGACCGCAGTAGATTCTGTTTCTTTAATGCTTAAAAAGGTTCGTAATACCATTTGTATGGCATTCAATTTTAAGAGAAGTCCGCTGATTCTTTTCAAGAAGAGGCTTTATCAATGGATATTAGACACGCAAGGATGATTTACAGCAAGAGCTTTAGATTTCGTACTGCTGCAACATTAAGCAATGCCCATTTCCATATCTCGCCGCTATTTTGAAGAAGTTCCTTGCTTTTGCAATTCAACCTCAACTTGGTAGGGTTAAACATCCCATTGAAATTACGAAAGCGTTGCATCGTTAAGAGAAAAACAAACAAACAAACAAACAAATCACTAATGTAAGATGCTAATGTGAAATACTCGCTTACCATGACATTTTTCAGTTTCAGATGCTGATGGGAAAGTTCTTTACCATGAATAAAGTGCAAAGCGTCAACAATTTGCACAGCCCAACATAATACTTTATTCCTCGTGGGGAGAGGGGTATGGTCAGATTTAGAAAAAATTAACTTCTCGATGGAATCCTTGCATAGCTCCGATACCATCACAACTTTGGTACCCTCTGGTCCTCTGAGAAGATCTGTCCCATAAAACTCCACTATACTTGGATGTCCGCGTACTTGCCTGCGTCAGAAAAATATACATATACACAACTGTAAAGAACAAACTAGCAATAACCTATTGCAATTAATTTTTAGCTGGTTTAGGGGAAGGGATGTGATGATACTTAGCGAACATCAGTGAAACTGAAGAAACTTTCTATACTACATTTTGAGTAATTTCAGTTGGAATCAAAAATGGACTGCCTAAACAAACAAGCTCGGTAGTATACAGAGAGGAGGTGGAATAGTTTTAATGGCACTGGGAGAATGGTGAGCAATGCTTGCCCAGTTACTTTTTAGAAATACAATGCGTTGGGAGAGTCTGTTAACTACCTGATCCAAGCTATACTTATCTGTTAAAATCCACCAATTTATCCATAGTTTTGGCATGTATGTAACTATCTTGCATGAGTTGAACATTACTGAATGTCGATTGTTTTTCAATTAACATAGACATTCTCGCTCGCCAGTTGGTCGAGAACCATGACTTCGACTTGTCATGGCATAATACCGAGCGAACATAGTCCCCATTGTCTCTATTGACGCCATTGTTTCCTTAAAGTTTTGGCAACTTGACGGTGTAGATTACGGTAAACGAAATGGCCAATGCCTGAATGGCCTTACCTACGCTGTTCAGTTTCTTAAACACTGAGTAAAGGCTAAAACGAACGGAAGAGGTCAATGTGACGCATACAACATGGAAGTGCTTTAGTCTGACAAACCTCATGATCATGCCCTCATCCCAAAACTGCCTCACATTCTCTTTTGAAAGAAGATCTGTGTAAACTTTCAACGCGACCTTTACTTCCTTTCCTTCCTTACGGGTAAGTACACCAGCGTAAACTGTGGAAATGCTGCCGCTACCGATGATGGACTTGCAGTCTTCTGTCCATTTCAAATCTTTGGGTATGAAATCGGATCGCATTATTTCTTTCGTAGCGTAAATGGCCACGTCTCCCATCAAAGACTCTAAGTTCTCCCTTTTGGGTTCATAGCAACTTAGGATGTCGGCCTTATTTCTCCTGTCCGACAGTAGCTGTTGATAAAGTTCCTTGTCACCCTCTATTAATTTAGGGATTTTCTCTTTTATCTGATTTAAAAACAGCACTGAATCTTCAAGTTGTTCGTTTATGAACGGAAAGAGACGGTTTTGGTCCGAGAGAACTTCGAGACAAACTCTGCATCTCTCAGACATGTAGGCACATCGATCGGTCTCGTACTCCTTGATCTTTCTGGGGAAATTCCTCTTCCCCTTCAATTTGGACACAAGTTTACTCAGTGGTGAACGGATTACAACAGATGCTAATCCTTGCCGGAGCCACACATGACTTCTGCTCGCTATAGGAACGTCTTGAAATCTCTCTTGGGTCTGTCTGAGAGTATTAGTGCTTTTTTCTGGCTGGAAAACCTCCGCCGTTCCGTCTACAAAGAGAACTTCGTCTTCTACTTTGCGGATCTCTTCCTCCATGAAGTTATACTTCTTACAAAGATCTTTAATCATTTTGTTCTGGGCCTCAGCGAACTCGTGCTCTTCATCCTCCCACTTTTGAACGAACTGATAACTCCGTTCCGAAATGCTCCTTAAGATTTCATTTTCCGTCTCTTCCCAAGTTGCTTTTGGAAGTGGGACCTCAGTAGGAGACCACTTGCAAAATAGAGCTGATGTGTCTGTCGCTTTAAAGTGGAAAGCCAGCTTTCCCGTAATCTCCCAGATTAACTGCGTTTGGTTTTGACCAAGTTCTTCTATTGTTTCATTCTGCGATCTTTCTAACTCTTTCATCCGTTTCTTGACATCTGCCATTTTCTTATCTTTTTCCAGCCGTGACAAGGTTGTTGATCTGAGTAATAATGTCATTTGACGAGAGACACGAGACAGGAGATCATCAAGCCATCTGTAATCCAATGAACGAAATTGTCAATAAAAAAAAAAAATAAATAATCAACTTATAGTAACAACCAGTTTGAATTTGCTGTAAGCAATGAGAGGCCTGCATGAGTTCCTTCCAATCGTAGTGTATGAGGTGCTCTCAAGGACTCAGGTACTTTTATGATGCGCTAGTAATTGAATCGAACGGTTCACGGCAAGAAAACTGGAGTGGGATCTTTCAACTGCCTATCGGTTAATTCGAACCAAATTTGATTGGTAATGTGGTCGCATTAACTGAGCTGATAATGTTCATAGGACTCCGCAGAGCGTTTTCAAAGCTGATCTTTAGCGTTTTTACCTTTCATCTAGTTGATAGGCAGATCGGAAAGCCGCAGAGCCTTAAACGTCCACGTAATACGCGAAGGCTGTGATATTGGATAACACATACGCAGT